ATACCCCGCCTATCTAGTCATTTCGACCACTCTAGGCGGCTTAAGAAGGCAAATTCTGGGAAAGGGTTTGTTGACTGGATCTGAGCATAATAAATGATTGCTTCCCTTTCTATCCTGTAGATTTGATTAGTGAGGCTGGGGTGAGGGACACTCTGGCCATCCAGTGCCTATTCAGTACTGTGTTTTGGTTTCCATATCTTTTTCAGGTGCAGGGCTGCTGTTTTCTGTTTTCTCACTTGCTTATTCAAGTAGCATTCTCCTGGTTGGAATTCAAGGAAGCAAAAGTAAAGGGTTTTTTTTGCCTGTTTTAATGGCAAGCTTTGGGTGAACTGGGGCTGCTGCAAGTGATCCTGTCCATCTATTTTCTACAATGGTAAAGCTAGGCCGAGATTTCTGAAAGCTGTTGGCATTTTACAAACCAACTTGAGAACCTTGTCTGCTGTGTATGAAGAGGTAAGCTGAAAGTGGCTACCATAATGCATTCATTCCAGATTTGAATTTCTATCATATTTATTGATATTTTAATTGACAGTATCTTTTCTGTGTTTATTTCATCAACAGTTAAGAGTGAAGGGGAAATTATTGAGGTGAAAAATAATTAGGGGAGGGAATTTGAGTATTTTATAATTAAACTGCAGGAGATCTGTTTTCACAGATTAGTGTTTGATCTCCTGTCTGTGTTTTGTTTCTTTGAACCATTTGGTGAGCTGTATTAATTTATCTTAGAATGTATTACAGAGGAACATATAGCTGGCAAAGGACACGGGCTGGTCCTGACCCTGCCTTGTACACATTAGTGACTTTAGGCAAGTAACACTACCCTCTGTTGCACCATTATTATTATTATTTACACCAGTGGACTTATTCAACTAAAGCCCTCCAGAAAAGCCTAGAAGCAGAGAAGGCAAGACTACTGCTGGTTGTTTGTTCTTGCTGTCTGATATTTGAAGATAAAAGTTGAACCAGAGCTTGGACAGGGCTTGGGTTAGGCTGTTTATAAGCTTTATATTATAATTATTTGTAGAATGAATAGATGCAATTTTCTTTTTGAAATGGTCACTTGCAAAAATAAAGAAATATTGAATTAAAATTAGCTTTGACTTATGGGATCAAACTGTAGCATGAGCTGGAAAAACAGCAACAATTCATGATTTCCCTGCAGAGGTTTTTGGCAGCCAGTGCTGCCTAGATAAAGAGCCTTGTCCCCCTATAACAACAACAACAGAGTAGAGGAGGAGGAAGCCTAAATTATTATATCAGTATAAATAAAGGAAAATTACTTAAGGCAGTGAAAATAGAGAATATTTTGAAAACAGAAAAGAATACTCAATAAAGACAGTTTGAAAATAAATTAAACAGCTGGAAAAATAAACAACTAAATGGCCAACACCTGAGAAGTATTGATGGTAAGTATTATCATAATTCAACATGGGCATTGCTAAAACTGGGGACCCTTAAGAAAGAAACCGAAGGTTTGCTTTTTGCTTCACAAGAACAAGTACTCCAAGCCAACGTGATGAAAGCTAAGATACGAGAATTACAGTAGTGCCAACAGCAAATGTCGACTCTGCCAAGAAAAAGATGAAACTGTGTCACACTTCATCTGTGAATGTCCAAAAATTGCACAAACAGATTACTAAGTTAGACATGATAGAGTGGCAAAGTTAGTGCACTGGTCATTATGCAAAAAATATAACTTGGCAGCCTCCAAAAAGCCATGGGGACATCGGGTAGAGACGGTGTCAGAAAATGAGGAAGTCAAGATATTGCGGGTTTTCCAGATCCAAACGGATAGACATCTTGAATATAAGACATCATATGAAGTAACAGAACAAAGAAATGTCTGGATTATTTTTCTGAACATATCAAGCTCTAATGCCTATTATCTTGAAGTGAAAGGAGAGGGTATGTGAGTCTTGCAAAATCAAATGCTGAGTAAACATGGACTTAAATTATTGAAACAAAAAGAGAACTAAATGGGTGATACTTGGGATATCAAGTTCTTCTCTACCAAGATTATTTCCTTCCCTTCTTCTGCACTCAGTTGTTCTTGTCATCATCATCTTGCATTCAGTGTCACTCATTTGAAAAAGAGACATCAGAAGCATTTAAACAGAAATAACTGTAGTCAGTCAGCTTTTGGAAAAGATGCATCATCTTTTAAATCGGGGTCTCCAAACTGCAGCCTGCCAACCACAACCTGTGTGCACAAGCGCGGTGGGGGGGCATGTGGGTGGGTGAGCATCCATGTGCGTGTATGCATCCAGGTGTGGGTGTGTGCGTGCATGCAGGGGTGCATGCAGGTGTCCATGTGTGTGGCTGCACGTACATATATACACACAGGCACTTTCCTGTTCCTTCGGCCCTCAAAAATGTTGGAAATATCCACTGTGGCCCTCAGGGTCAGCAGTATGGAGACCCCTGTTCTAAATGAAAAAGTTCTGTTATGCTGGAATAACAGTATCCTACTTTTGAAGCACTCCCCTAACATTTGGTACTTGTGTTAGCTGGCAGCTGTCTCAGCAAGAAAAATAAAGAATGCTGCAATGGACTATTAAATGTCATCTCTGCTTCTGCCTCTAGCAAATGTTTACGAGATAGTCATGCATTTTTCATGGTAAGTAACCTAAAACTTTTATAAGAATTCTGAACAGTTATTCTATCCAGCATGAAAACCAATACAAGAGATGCATCTAATTACTCAGTTACCTGATAGTTTTGCCCGAACAATTCCCTTATATTGTTTTCAATGACTGTTGGTCATACCTAGTGCCATCTTAAAGGACATACTCCTGACAAATTGCATGTAAAAACACATACATTTAAAAAACATATACAAATAATGCAATCCAATAAATTGATTGTGATAATAATCCTGATTTGATCTAAAGGGGCTTGATTCTCAAATTCCCAGTCAAATCAAGGAGCATAAGCTCACACAGAAAATATTTAATGGCTTAAAGCCTTTTGGCAGAGCTTCACCACACAAGGATGACATCTGCTGCAATTGTGCTGTGGCCATTTTGAGGCAATAAAAGGCTGCCCCAGGAAGACGCGGATTCCTAAGGATCCACGAAACCTGATGGGAGGGGCAGGCTCTAGGAGGGCTTTTTATTGCCCTGAAATGGATACAACATGGCTATGGCTGATGACATCATGCTTGTTCCAGTGTAAATTTGCACAAGGCATCAGCCAGTGCATATTCTCTGACCAAGTATGCATCAGGATTGTATTAGTATCGCCAAAAAAGAAAACTTTCAACAGTGTGACTGGAGCACCTAATCTTCAAGGTGCTTAATGTTTCTATATCTTTTTAAGGCCCTAATGGTTTGGCCAATGTAGTGTTTTTCAAAAGGATGTTTTAATTGCATAAATTGTGCTACTACTATAGTTGGTGACTCTGCAATGGTAATATAGTACTGGTAAAGTCAACAGGACTGCAAAAGAGTAGCAACTTGATAGTACACTTGAACAATGATGCTTATGTGGGAATTAGGAAACAGTGCAGGCTGCTTAATCTATGTGTCACTATGAAGTATTTTAATATGTTTGCCTGTCTAAAGTGGGTTATCCCAATATATATCGATTTCTTGTTTGTTTTAGGTAACTTTTTGTATCTCAAATGTATCATTCAGCTGTTAGTATAAACTGACAACACATACAATTGTATTGTTTACACTTGGGATTTCACCTTCTCTTCTTTCCCCATTAGTGGTATTTTAATAGGATTGCACCCTATTGTTTTTATTTGCTCGCTAACCTCTATTGCTCATGGTTTTAACATACGTTACTAGAAACAAATCAGCATAAGGCTAAGTAACATACACTATAAAAACTCCGATGTCTTGACAGTTGTTTTCCATCATTTTATTAAAAAAATAGATCTATATCAACGTGTGTATCAGCTTGCTCCATTGCTTATTGACTACCATAATTTTAAGAGGGAAACATTGCAATCTTCACATCTTGGGAAAGGAACACAAGCTCCAGGCCATTCTCAAGATTAGAACTAAATAATCAGAAACTAAAGGACAACACAACTTGTTTAGAAAAAAAAGCAACTCCCCCCACATCTCATTTTGCTAAACCAAAAAATTGCAACAAGTAATTTTGCAATGGAAGATATATATTTTTCCAGACAGATCTCCTCTACTAGAATGTGTTCAGGAATGAGGGGAGGTGTTTCAAAAAGAACAAACTGTGTAAATTTGTTGTGACTCTCTTATGTGCACTCCAGCTAGCTTTTTCTATTTTTTCCCCTCATAACTGTCAAATAATTCAGGCACAAATACAGAATAATTTAATTTCAGTTATCCACTTTTTAACTGATTGTATAAGAGTTGAACCTATTTGAATCTTAAGAGTGGTCAATTTCACTAGTATTTTGCAACACCAGCAATGTCATGATGGTGCTGCAATTTATCATCTGATGAACACAAATTATGCAGAAGAGTGTGATAAAAGAAGTCACCAAAGCTGCAGGCCCCATTAAGCTTCTTAAACTAAGGCCAATGGCATTTAAGCAGCTTGTGTGATGGACCAAAATGATACTGCCTACTGCCTACTGTCCAGGCATGTGATCTTTGGAACATCTTTCGACAAAGCAATCTTAATTTAGACAAAACAAGGCTGGGCTAGCTGCTTCTGCAAAATGTGATTACAGAGCAAGTAACACCACTGTGAGAATCAAGAGCTGACACAAAATGGTATAACAGTTTCCATGTAGAGTGTTCTCCTGTAAACAGACTGAAAAACTGGGCTGATGATGGGATGAACACCCTTCTTCATCTACAACCCCTTCTTCCATTCAACACCATTATCCCTCACCATAGAAGAACACAGGGTCTTTTTTTTTGACACAAAAATTTCTATTCCCTTGTTTTCAGTACAATACTTTTTGAGTATTTTTTAAAGGAAAGTAGGTGCTTTCTTTCGAAATTTCAGAGAAGCTGGTATCATAAGGCTGTTGGTTTTATGTAACTTAAAATCCAAATTACGCTGTGGAAATATGCCAACAAGTTGACGCAGTAATATTAGACAGCTCTACCTAAAGTTAAGAAGCAAGCAAGCAATGAAGTCCAGCAATATTTTGGTTTTCCTGGCATTACAAAATATAGTACTCATACATTTAAAAAATGTTCATCAGATAGATAAAGCACATAGGAATGCAACATTCAGAATTCTGACACAGAAAAATGTGATGTGAGCAATTTGCTATTTCAAGCACAATTACCAAAAATACAATTTTATAATGAAAGAATTGTCAAAATACAGTTAAACAACATTCAGGAACCACAAAAAAGGATCCAACAGTATTACTTAAACTGACTGTATTTGAGATTGTATTAAATACTGCTTGAGTAAGATTTGTGATCAGAAAGCAGCATTATCCCAAGCACTTGTGAAGTTCCCTCTTTCATTATCTGAAGCATTCCTTACTCAAGATTACATTGCCTGCACTTGGATTTTAAATGCAAACCACTCACCTTGGAAACACAATGCATTTAGACACATTTTTACATTTTACATAGCTGAAGCAGAACATCTTGTAATGGCAACTGTAACTTAAAAGTATGGATCTGATTACCTTGCTACATAAGAATCCCCCATGCATTATAGAACTCTTAATGGAAAAATGTTGGATGACAACTTTAAACAGGAAAAGTTAACCAAATCATCCTATAAATATTTTCTTTATTTGCTTTGCCTCTAGAAGTTGCTATTAAATTCTATTAACAAAAATACATAACAAAGGTTTCCTAAGTAGTGAAAAACTTAATTACAAATGTTGAAAAAAGTTGGCCTAATTAACATATGTACATATTTGTCCAGTTAATACATTGAGGGGAATCTGTTCAATTAATGAAACATACTTATAAGGATCAACAGTAAGTCTGAACTGGTAATACTCCAAGTCCTTAGTTTGGGCAGAGAGAACATGGAACATTTCAGGGTTGTTGTTTTTTTTGTTAAAAATGTAGAGATAACATGCAACAGACAATAATCAATCTGAAAGGCTGCTGATAAATTGTTCTGTTCCTTCCTGAAAAGATTTTTCTGTAAAATTAATGTCCTTCTGTCCCTTCTTTTCCTTGTTCTGCTGTTCTTGTAGATGCAGGATTATGTTTCTTATTTCTTCTCGTTTTGTTTTCATTCTTGAGCGTGGAAACCAGTCAGTTAAATTCATTGGTAGTTCAAAACTTACAATGGGAGTCTAGTGGGGATAAATGAAGGAAGTTTAGAATAACTACCTTTATAGAAAGCTTAAATAATAATATTGTCTAATGTACTTAAAATATGAAGAAACAAAGAGCAGGAAATGCTATTGTCTTCCTCGTCTCCATACAGTCTGAATTACATTAGACCTTTTCCTTACAATACCAGCATTTCTTAACTTTTCCACAAAGGTTTCGTTTCTTCCATTATCTATGTTGCATAACCATTTTAATCTATAGTCAAGACTATTCTGCCCGTTATGAACAGTATCAAGGTGCTCCTCGTAAGACAACTTACCATCAAGAGATGTCTTCCTTTGTGATAGGCTACGAGGGTTATAATGGAAGGCAAATGTATGTATGCCTTCTCAGATCTAACCATGTGGCTCCCCCACTTGAAATGCACAGGCAAGATACAAAGCAAAATGAGACTCAGTGCAATTAAGAGTGCTTCTCTCTCTTATTTTAATTTTATACCACTATCAACGTTTCCTCTAATTTCTGTCCCACTGCATGGGAAACTCACTCCGTATACACAGGGGTGGGCAGGGCTTCATTTGAAATGGGAAGTAAACAAACCAGCTTCCTGTGTGCAGCCCCAACAGAGCATTTCACAGTTTTAAAACTTTAACATATAGGATTTTAAAAACTAGGGAGTGCTCGAAGAATTTGGTATTTCTGAACTCTGAAACTAACTCAATCTGCATATCACTCACTGCCACCAGAGTGGATTAGGACCTAGTTATGTAATCTGTTTCTTACATGGTCAAGTGCAGCTCAAAACAATTATTACAATACATTTTAAAATTGTCTATTTAAATATGCATTTTGGAGCTTTTAAAAAAAAGCAGTAACCAATTCATGCAGAACTGAATTTCTCTCAGCTCTGCCCATCTGGGTTTGCTGTGCAGCAACAAGTTAGACCTGGGGTGCAGTGGGGGCGGAACTGCAGTGGCCTATCATGATTATATTCCCCAAACGTACATGGTGCCCTAACCTAGTCTTCTGGGTGTGAGTTTGCATACCTGAAAGTGGATGCCTAGGACAGAATTGGAATTCTGCTGATGTACAGCCCACCCCACTGCTCATCAGTCTCCCTTCTCGCCATAGCTGAACTGGTCTCAAGCTCATTGTCCTAGGGAACTTCAACATCTATGCTGAGGCCTCTTTGTTAGGAGTGGCTCCTTGACAATTATGGCTCTATCCCAACTTCTGAGCTTGTTCTCTCTCCCCCTTCCAATTCAGTTTAAAGACTTCCTAATTAAATTCTTCTTGCTGCAGCCAAACACATTCTTCCCAATCCTTATGAGGTGCAACCCATCACTTGCCAGCAGTCCATCATCCAGGAAGTGTAGCCTGTGATCACAAATTTCCAAAGCTCTCCTGTCAGCACCACCTTGATAGCCAGTCATTCACTTGGAATATCTTCCTTTCCCTTTCTATTCTTCTTCTGAGTACTGGTAGGCAGGACAAGAAAACTATCTGGGCCCCAAAGTCCTTGAGTTTCCTTCCCAGAGCTTCAAAGTCTGATGTGATTTCTTTGTAGCTCCTCTTAGCTGGGCCATTTGTTCCCACATGGAAAAAAAAAGGATTTTGAAGTTCCACTGATGAAGAGTGTCTTCTCCTTCTTTTGCTCTTAACTGTGACTCTTTTCCATAGTGCTTCCTCCACTATGTTGTCTTCCTTGGTCTTGTTTTTCCACCTCTAGTGTCTCCCTTGACTGCTGCTGCTCAACAGTTCTGTCTACATACTCTTTTTCTTATAAACTTAAGCACAACCACTTGCTGCTCTGATTCTTTTAATGGTGCTAACAGTTTGCACTCGCTGCACGTATACACTGTGTTGTTCTCAGGCACAAAGACAAACACTGCACATGCCTTGCAGGTCACCACTACTGAAGTGTCACTTCCTTCCTGTTAACCTTTTTAGTTTCTTCTCTTTGTCTATGAGTGCTCTTTCCCTTGTCTGCCTTGAAGGATGCTCTCTGCCTTTGTCTCCCCCTTTTTGTCTCTTCCTCCAGTAGACCCTTTCCTTATTACTTTTCTTTACTACCTCTCCCCCTTCAAATTCCTGTCCGCTTTCCCTGTTCACTCGCTCCCTGGGGTCTTTCTCTGTTTTATTCCTCTGCTGTGCTCTGTTAGGAGTCAGCAAATAGAAAGGAATCTTACTAAATATGGTGGTATCTGTGGAGATGTAGGTGACAATGACAACTAGAAATGGTTTTCAACAAAGTGGATGTTACATTGATTGTTCATGGACTAATTACATCTAAATTAGACTGTCATGGAGCATATAAGGTGTCAATGATAATTCAGCGAATACAAATGGTGCAAGATGTGATTTCTCATAAGTTGTTGATGATTATTTATGTTTTTACATCTGTGAATCATCTTGCCCAGAAATGCAGTCTAAATTCCTTTAATAGATAAAAATAAATAAATTCTATATTTATGCTTTGGAGAAAAAAAAACATTCTGATTTCTCATTACAATAATAGTACTTCTGCGCAAAACATTTATACATTTTACAAACACCTGACAAACAAAGAGATCAGTATTCTGTTGAAGCAGTGTTGCTTCTATGGAGCTTGTGCAGGGAAGTAACCAATACCTCCTTGCACAAGCATAAGCCACCCTGAAAACAATTGGGATGATCTTTTACTTTCACAATAGGGAAAACTGAAGACAATGAGAACTCTACCAGCAAAGTCTTACATTCTGCTCATGATGAAAAGGACACTAGCCGAAATGTTTTATTTTGCATTTAAATAGGTGTTATGTATTTTTATTGTAAATTGCTAAGAAATATTTCTGTTATGGGGCAGGAGAAGAAGAAAACCAATCTTGTTGATAAATAATCAACTAAATGCCAAATTCCATGAATAGAGCACAGCAGAGACAATGGCTCTAGAAATGTGTACATTTGCTACCTCATTTGATGTGCTGAAGCCAATTATATTTAAAACTGTAACTAACAGTATTAATAAGCTCACCTCAAAAAAGCTCTCCACATACTGTAACACATAAACTCCACAATCACTGAAGTTGTTCTGCTGTGGCACTTTAGGGTTTGAGCCTTTCATGACATCTTTGGAGAAATGTCTTTTACTACCTTTCTTTACTCTCCACTCCACTTCCAAGTATCTGTAACACAGAAGAATGAGGCTTGGAATAATGTTCTTATAGATAAAGCATTTGAAAACTGAACATGAGGGTCTATACTAGAAATTAGCTACTCACTCCCGTAACGTTTTTACGACATTTGATCGGGATGGGCCTCTCAAGGAATCCATAAGCAGGATGCAAGGCCTACAAGAAAACACAGTCATTTTCTCTCCTATTATTATCACATATGCCAGTTCAAGATACATTGCACAGAGTTCAAGAGATAATATGCACAAATTACAGCTATGACATACACAGGGAAAAGGTTCCCTGAGACTGTTTCACTGTAGAACATGTTTCATTTCCCTTTGCTACATATCCTGTTCTTTGGATTTCCTGGGTATTTGAAATGTAAGGATTTTTTTCTCACCAGCTGTATCAAACACAGGGGGAAGGAGGGATAAAACCCTGAAAATTCAAGCTGGGGCAATTCCAGCAGATTTCTGGATACTGTAGCTCAAAAAATATAAGAACACCATTTTATTCAAAACCTATATTAATTTTGTTTTCATCTGAGTGCAAACTCCACACAAATTGAAAATTAAGCACAGTTAGATTTAATACATGGCTAAATGCATGTATTAAAGACATGTATTTGTACATGACTTTAAATTCTACTTTTATTACAAAAATAGATGCATACAGAATTACAACACTTCAGAGAAATATTTGCTTAGCATTCTTCCTCCAGTTTATGACAACATAAACCAGTTTTTCCTACTTACTCAGCAGTTTGAGATCTGCATACATATGCTCTAACTGTGATCATTTAGAGAAACCATACTACGATGTTAGAAAAATGTATATATTGCAAACTGCCATGATAAGATAGATGGAATCAAAGATTGTGAGAGAGTGGCTTGCTTAAGACTACCTATTCCATTCATGGCAAGGGGGACATTGCATATTTGGACTTCCTGATTCACAGTTCAGTCTAGCTGCAAACTAGCAGAAAACTAAATAACAAATAAGGTAAAGTGAATGGGCGGAAAGTTATTGAGAACAATTCCAAAAGAACAGATGTTGCATGGCAGTTCTAGTAGCAAGAGCTTCCAGTAACAGAAAAATATTACCATTATGTTTAGACATATTTTCAATTACTCAGTTTTTATGCATTCAGTGTTTGGAAATGACACTTTTTTAAGTCTAGAGAACTTGCATATAAAGGGAGGAACACTGAAATTTGAGTAACAAAATATTATTTTTAAAAAGAGAAGTTCCCAATGTATTTTTGTGGCATTGTTCAATTGTGGATTTCATATTCAGTTTTTTTTGTAAAAGAAAGAAAAATGTAAACAAAATAAGGAACCTTGGATTTATACACTGAAGCCACTGTGTACCTTTTCGAAAACAAAATTGGTATTTGAAGAACACATAGGTCATTAAGTCTTTAGATCTGAACTGGACACAGAGATAATTGATCTGAGATCTTTGTAATACAATTCATGCCAAGCTACAGCCAAGATTACAGTAACTCCTGACTGTGATAATTTGAAAACTAGCAAAAATTAGCCAGCTTCTTTCTACTGCAATTGACTGGTAACAAAAAATAAAAATAAAAATATTTTATTCCATGTTTTCTTTGCCATTAATATGTTGCATGCTTGCTGTACATAGCAATAATTTTGTTTTATATATGTAACATAAAACTGGTGAATGGTGAGAGGGAGATAAATAATTTGTATCACAGCTCGTACACAATTTGCAAACCTTAACAAGTCAGTGCAATTATTGCAACTTCCTGCCTAGGCAGCTTTGGAATGTATTTTTTCATTTGAATTTTTGATTTTAAAATAACAAACGTTGGAGATATATTTTTTGCTGTTTTTGAAATGCAGGTGAAACAAAACAACCTTCAGTGAGCAAATTTAGAGTCAAGACAAAGAAAACTTCATCTATATTTAGTAACATTTTTGTTATTAAAACTGTCTAATAAACTTTTGCTTAGAATGAATACTGCATCATAGCAAACCAATCTAGGCTGTCAGAAAACAGGAAAGGCGTACCCCACATGAGTGTACCCTCTAGAAAGGCCTCTTGTTGGAAGAAGAGAATAGGGTGTCAATTTTCACTGATTCTCCCTTTCCCCCTGCAGGTCCCCAGTTTGCACTTCTCATGCGGTTTCTTCAACAAGCACAGCTGAGAGGTCTGACTATAATAACCATATGGCTTTATCTTTCATCAATGTTATTATATAGAGAATTGTGCAAAAACTCCACACTCCTAGTTAGATATTTAAATATACTTGATCACTGAAGTTAGACAGGACTGATAATTCTCTTCTTTAATGAAACACTTGATTCTACAATGCAGCTATGATATTCACAGAAAGGCAAGAATATCATACAATAAACTTACTGTTTACATATAGTTGGTTTCAGATGCCACTGTCCCAATTCTGAATTACAATTATCATCTGCAAGACCATCATCATCACTGCTATTGTCCTACCCAAAAACAAAAAACAAAAAAGAAAGATGCTATCAGAATGGAGAGGATGAATGCATAAGAAATAACTGATCAAAGAACATACTAGAGATCAAGACTTTCCAAACTTGTGTTAAGAACAGAAAACGAAGTGATGAAAAAAATTCTAAACAACTATCTTTCAAGTGTAGATTTGGGCAAAATGCCCAAAATAATTCTCTAGCTAGCTATTTCTTCAACATCTTCACTGAGCTTGGGAAATATATGCAGTATCCACCAGGTATGTTTCCTTGCCAGACCAATAAATAAATAAAGGATCTTGAAACTGCTGCCTCATGACAAAGTGTGCTAGACCAGCCACCACTCTGGGACATGATTCCCTTCTGTAATCTATAAACTCCCTCAAGCATTTTCACACAGAACATTTGAAAGAATTGCTACCATTACACAATTGTTCCTCGGACCTCTGAAGTGCCACATAATCTGTAGCATACACCTAGACAATATACTGTGCTATGCTCTGAGTACTTTGAAGACAAAAGAAAACAATACATCTTTTATGCACACATAAAAGGAATTGATTATAAATGTGGGTGCAACTCAAGAATAAGTTTCATAGTGGACTTCACTTAGTGGCATCCTAATTTTGAAAAGGAAGAATAAATGAAATAGTGTGTAGCAAGCTATAATGAAGGCCAGAAGTAACACAGGCAGATATTCTGAGGATGCTAAGAACACATAAACTACATTAAGGATAATATAGAAAGACAGATACTTCAGAGGCGGTGTTATGTGCCATTCAGTCGTCTCCATTTTATGTCGACCCTGTGAATAATCAATCTCCAAAATGTTCTTGTAAAGTAAACTCAAGCCTTTGGCTTCCTTGATGGAGTCAATCCATCTTGTATGTGGACTTTCTCTTTTCTGGCTGCTTTCAACTTTTCCCATTATTACTGTCTTTTCCAGAGAATCTTGGCTTCTCATGATGTGCCCAAAGTATCACAGATTCAGTTTCAACATTTTTTATAGTTCAGGCTTGATTTGATCTAGAACCCACTTTTTCATATTTCTAGCAGCCCAGCATATCTGCAAAGCCTTCCTCCAGCAGCATATTTCAAATAATTTTTTTCCTGCCTCCTGCCAGCTTTCTTTACTGCCCAACTTTCATACCCATACATGGTGACTGGGAATACAAGCATGTGGATAATCTTGGTCTTGGTCTCCAGTGACAGCTTCTTACACTCAATTATCTTTTCTAATTCCTTCATTGCTGCCTTCCAAGTCTCCTAATTTCTTGACTGCAATCTCCCTTTTAACTTCTTCATTGTCAACATCAAAGTTCTTTTGCTGTCATTATTTTTGTCTTCTTAATGTTCAAGCTTTCTCCTGCTTTGGCACTTTCTTCTTTCTCTTTCACTTTCACTAAAAGCTGCTGCAAGTCATTGCTGCTTTCTGCCAGTAAGATCGGTGTCATCAGCATATTTTAAATTCTTGATGTTTCTTCAAACAATTTTCACTCCTCCTTCACCTGAATGTAATGTGGCTTTCCGTATGTTTGACACCTTTGCCTATAGGAAACCATCCTCTCTCTCCATATTATCTCCTCATTCTTTTCCACAACAGAGGTTACACTTCAGAGGTTACTGACCACAAAAATGAGGCCATTGTTCCATTTCAAAATGAATGAAACACCACGGAGGAAATGATACTATTCTGCTCCAAAATGTACTAAGGACAGAACATTCTTCTCAACTAATTTTTTTTCATTCCAAGACAGCCACAAAATGCATTCTAAGTGCCTCTTATGTCTCTCCAGAAAGAAATTACTGGCCACCAACCATTCTCACCATGCCTTACATGTACAGCTAATGAAAAGAAAGAAAGCAATCCTCTGAATGAAGGATCCAACTACTCCATGAATTTTTATTATTCTACGGAAGTCTTTGAACTTGAGCAGCCTGTCAATAGGTATTCAAATCAGGCTCCCATCGAATGTCAACACTGGAATACCATCCTTGAAGGAGGAAAAAGAAAAGCAGTACTTCCTTAGTGGCGAGTAAAAAGGACCTTTATAACCCAGCTTTACAGCCAGTCTATCTACTTGTCTACCTGTAGTCTTTCAGCATGGATGTTAAGAAGCACAAGTACACAGGTTTAGTAATCACAATGCTGGATAAAGCTTGCCTTCTAGTGGTTGGAATCAGAAAAACAACTACAAAAATGGTATCTAGAGGGGATATTGGAGATTATATTTTCAAAAACATGCAAAGAAAATAATGCTACTAGCACTGGGGGAACTGTCTAATCTTACACAATTATTATTTATAAGCAACATGCTAGTAAAAGTTTTCTTCCATCTCCCAGTGCAAATCCACATAGACATGAAAACAGAACAAAATCCTCACAATCCCACTGAACTAGACTACAGTGGTGCCTCGACTTACAAACTTAATTGGTTCTGGGACTCCGGTCATAACTCGAAATGATCGTAAGTCGAAGCACCATTTCCCATGGAATGCAATGAAATGCAATTAATCTGTTCCAGCCAAAGAAAAAAATCAACCCCCCCAAAAAAAACATGTGATTAATCCATTCCGTCTGAAGGGGAGGGGGAAGAAAAACAAACAAACCGTGCAAGACCCATCGGAAATGCAAAAAAAAAAAAAAAAAAAAAAAAAAAAAAAAAAAAAAAAAAAAAAAAAAACACACAAAGCAGAAAGCAAACAAACTGTGCAAGACCTATTGGAAATGCAAAAAAAGCAAAGCAGAAAGCAAACAAACCCTGCAAGACCCATGGGAAATGGGGGGAACCCCAAAAAGCAAACAAACCCCGCAAGACCAATCAGAAATGGGGGAAAAAACCCAAAAAGCAAACAAACCCCTCAAGACCCATTGGAAATGGGAGGAAAAAAAACCCCAAAAGCAAACAAACTCCGCAAGACCCATTGGAAATGGAGGGGATCCAAAAAGTAAACTAACCCCACAATACCCTTTGGAAATGGGGGGAAACCCCCAAAAAGCAAACCCTGCAAAACCCATCACAGCATAGAAACACCACCCAGCCCAAAACCACACTGCAAAACCCACCCAGAACAGCTTTTAAAAAGTAGAAAGCAGCACCTTACCTTACCAGGCAGTCTGAAGCCATCGAGGCCAAACTGCTGGGGCGAAAGAGCTACAAAGAAGCAGCTTCTTCGCCACCAATGGTTAACAATCTGAATTCCCCGCCTTTTTCTGGTTGTAATTCAAAGCTCTGGCCACAAATTGAAGCAAAATTTTGCAGCCAGAGCGGTTCGTAACTCAAAATGGTCATATGTCAGGACGTTTGTAAGTTGAGGCACCACTCTACTAGTTTCAAATCAATGACACTTGCAGTACATCTTCTATATTCTACTACAGCACAAACACACAGACACTTAATTCTTCAAAACATTGTTGTAAGATAAATTATTTCAAATAGGGTTTTTGCTTAATTATAGTGGATGGCGCGGTTAAACTGCTGAGCTACTGGGCTTGTAGATCGGAAGGTTGGCAGTTTGAATCCAAACAAGAGTAAGCTTCAGTTGCTTGTCCCAGCTCCTGCCAACCTAGTAGTTTGAAAGTATACAAATGCGAATAGATGAATAGGTACCACCTTGGTAGGAATGTAATGGCATTCAGTAACTAGTCATGCCGGCCACATGACCACAGAGAGTGTCTACAGACAAACACCGGGTCTTCAGCTTAAAAAACGGAGATGAGCGCTGGCTTCTTGAGTTGGACACAACTAGACTTAATTGTCAAAGGGAACCTTTACCTTTAGCCTATATATTCACTAAGCTTTCAGGGTTTTTTAAAAGCTTCACTGTTAAAACAGAACTTCACCTATTGTTGTTTTTAAATACTATTGGCTTTTTACCTGGTTATCCTGATCTTCCGAAAAATCTATAAGCTCATCTTCATTTAGTTTACTGCTGTCAGCTGAATCTTCGCTATAGTTTAGCCTGATTTTCTGTAAACCATCTGCATTGACCATAAAGAGTAGTAAATTATTTTAGAAATGACACAGACATAAAAACCTCATATCCCACATAGGAAGGGTAAATCACAAAGTGAAATAAGGCAGGTTTATGCCACTAGTCTATGTGAGAACATATAGCTGAAATTATTCTTGCAAAATAGTTTTAAACCTGAAGCAGTTTTGAAATAGTTTTAAACTTTAAGATTATCAATGTATTTGTTATAGCTGCTTTTCAAGAAATGCTTGGACTCCACAAATGACTACAGATGATTAGAAATAGCCAGAAACATTTTATTTATGCAAGGCCTAGTAAGGTAGATAAACCAAGTCCACTTGCTTTATCAAGGTTGCCCAAGACTAAGCAGTTTCTTCCTCGCCAACACTTATGAAACAAATAGCCTTCACTGCCATTAGTTTGTTAAACAAAGAATATCTTCAACACAGTTTTCATCGCTTTTTGTCACCCCAATAACTAATATGCCCCCATCCTCACCAAAGTGGATCCCACTTCTTAGAGAGGAACACATGATGAAAACTTGTTGAAGGAAAAATAATGTATGAAGAAAACAGTCTAAAATGATGAGTAACCTCTTTAAGGAGGACGCTTCATCTCCAAACCTTCTCTTTAACATACAGGCTGAATCATGCCCAGGGGGTAGGCAGGGGAGGATTTAGCTGTATGAACAAAATCTATGCTGAAAGATGTGCCAAATACAGTTGCACTGGAAAGCACTGAAGACAGCTAAACGGTCCAGGTACTGACAAAACAAACTACAGGCACACTATCATCTTTATTCTAGACATAACTTTTTATGGCAAGCTTCTTCTTGGCATCTGGAGTTTTCTCCCTCATTTCACCTGTTTATAACCTTGTCCCAATTTGTTTGTGCAATACAAAAAAATCACATAGTACGTTTTGTAAGGAAGGTACAATTTTCATCAAGCATATACATTTTAAATTTAGAAACACTGAACAAGTTAACTTTTTGATAAAAATACTTGACAATTCTGATTTTCTATGGGACACATAAAATGAAAGAGGAGTTGTAAGCTTGGAATACACAATTCAGTGTTTTTAATGTGACAGGAATATACTTTTTTGGGTTATTGTACTTATGCATTATTATATATAAAGCAATGTGATTATTGTTTTATATTTACATATTTCTCATTATATATTTCTCATTTCCTGATGCCATAAAGATACTGGCCAACTGTTGTGTAGTGTAATAAATTGCACTAGAGTAGGTGGATTTAGTGATTTTAATTATTTAACTATGCTGAAATAAGTCACAGCTGAGTATCTTATATCCACAAAAGTAATGAATAAGGCAGTGTGATTTTCACATCCACTGGTCTGGAAGATTCAATAGGAGGATAATCAAAAGAGAACTATCTTGTACTGACCAGAGAGAAGTCAATATGAATTTCTTTTGGCTATTATTTTATTGAAATAGTGACACATATTTTATATTTATTTTTTATTTATTTTATTTATATCCCGCTTATCTAGTCCCTCAGGACCACTCTAGGTGGCTTACAACAGACATATAACAATATAAGTAAAACAATTTTAAATAAAGGGAAAAACATTAAACAAGATGGGGCAAACACTAGGAGAGGAGAAAAGGGAATGCTGTGGTAGTTTTCTGCAAGAGGACATCTCAACAGTTATAATTTGGTGAATGTAATGGCAAATGAAATCTAAATGTCAAAGTAATCCCTGCCTAAAGTACAAAATCCTCAAATAAAACCAAATGAAACTGAAGAGAGTATGCTTCATTATCTTCTTCATTTTCTATTCCCTTTAAGGTAGCATGTCACATGTAACAGCAAATATTGTGACCCTCAGTATCACCTCATTCACTTGACAGAAAAAGTTGCCAAAAGAGGGAAAAGAAAAAGAAAAAACTATAGCACTTTAACAACTATATTTCACTACTGTATAAGCTTTTGTAGATCAAAGTTTACTTCCTCAGATACTGGAGAGGAAATACACGACTGGTATATTTATACATATCTCCATTATGAGGTGCAGGTACAGATAGACGAAGCAACAGTGGTTCTTATTTGCAGGAATGGGACTATCAAACTGTTAATTATTTCACTTAGAAGACAACTGTTTATGCAGCCAATTTCTCCTGTCTCTCGAGTGTCCCTTTGTAATTCCCTTTTCTAGAACAGTCAATTTGAGGTCCGTAACAGAGTATTACGGGATGGTACAATTTTTGAAACTGGTTTCTCTGTGTTGCCATTCCTCATGGTAGGTTTGAGTCCATTCATTTTTTTGTACAGAAAAAATAAAGCTAACACTAAAACAAAACTGTTGGTATTTAAATTGCTATAATATCTTCTTTTTTTCTTTTCTTTTGCCAACATGCAGAGAGATGGATACTTCTACTAGTCGCACAACTGGTGCATGCCTAGAAACTCCCCAAGGCCATAAAAGATGGTAAGGTTTTGCAACAGTCAAGGAAGCAACAGAATGGTCCTTATTATGCACATACACTCCAACCTGTTGCATTTCTAGTATTTTTCCAAGTGTACCTTGTTTAACCTCACTCTTTAAGAATTTCAGAGCCCTTTACAAGTGACCCCCAGCATTTCCCACACTGATTATACCCATTCCCACTTCCTTTCAACAATACTGCCCAGTGAGATCATTCACTGAGAATTATTTTGCTAACTTTGCACACAAAGTAACTGACCTCTAAATTATGTTGTTCATTAATAGCATATATCCTTTAATCAGATTAGAATCCTGTATAGTATACAAGGTGGTACACTCTCTTCCCAAGAAATAATTTTCACTGAATTCAATGGGGATTACTTCTCAGTAGACATGTACGTATGCATTAATAAGCCAAATGCTAGTAAACATTTAATGCAACAAAAAACAAAGCTAGTACATACCAGCAGCTTGGATCTGAGTTTTATATTCACACTGTATGCCATTTGCCTCTAAAGTCCTCTGGTCATGTTTATGACATACGTATTCTACAATTCTCAGTTCTTCTGTGGTGTTATTTAACTGATTCAGTTTTTTAAAACCACCCTTGACAGAAGAGGTTTTTTTGCAATACAGTGACTCACTCTCCTCAGCTTCTGTGTTTGTTTCAGTTAATGCTGGACTGAGCTTCTTGTTCGCCACCTTCCTTGCAATCATTGCAGGGGACTGCTGTAATAAATCTAATTCACTAGGTAAAGGAGATGAAGTGCTTCTCTCAGGATCTAAAGAAGATGACTTAGTCTGTGCAGATACATGTTCCTGGTAATATGGATTAGCTTCATATATTGGTTTTTCTAAACCTGGAAAACAGATGACAGCCAAAAACCAATGTGCCCTGTAAAAGAACAACAACAAAAGAATAGTAACCAAGCTACACATAACAAATCCTTCTTGCCTAGATATGCTGTGCCACACAGTAGATACAACTGATAACATCTACGGTGATTTCTTAACTTCGGGCAGTTTCCCACCAAAAGCCATGGTATCTCTAGTGAGAGGATATTTTTGACTCACTGCTTCTAAGCATAACTGGCAGTTGCAGAATCCTTTGGGTCCCATAGGCAAGACATCTATCTGCTCACTGACTCCTTGCTGAGCAGAAATAAAGAAACAAAGATGGAACTAACAAAGAATTAGATAACTTGCTCCATCTTTGTATGGCAAGTCCACTTATCTTGGTCTCCTCCATTCAGCTCTGCACTGGAAGTGAAAAGCAATAGCACTTGCTCTTTCTTTTTACAAGACTGATCTTGTAACATTTGCCTGGTGCAGAGGGAAACTATATACCTTAGAGTGGTACCTCGACTTACGAACTTAATCCGTTTTGGAACGGCATTCGTACGTCGAAAAGTTCGTAAGTTGAAGTACCATTTTCCATTGAAATGCATGGGAAGGGAAATAATAATAACAACAACAACAACAACAACAACAACAACAATTTATTGTCATTGTAAGTATATACACAGTATACCCATACAACGAAATTCACAGACACCCAGAGACCAGACACATGCACAAACATAAAATTCCCCAAACACTCCCCACCCACTAAAAGTCCCCCACTAAAAATACAAACATCTACACCGCAGGCCAAGTAACACAGTCCAACTAATTATTCACTACTGGTGGTCTTTAAGCTCATTATTAATTGCAATTATAGCTCTGGGATAAAAACTATTGAGAATCCGTTTTTAATCCGTTCTAGCATTTCAAAAAGTTACCTTCGGAGGTCTCAAAGGGCTTTCCCTCCGACATCAGAGGAAGCCCTTTGAGACTTCTGAAGGGAAAAAGGCAATGAGAAAGGGTGGGAAATTCAAATTCCCAGCCCTTTCTCCCTGCCTTTTTGCCTTTGGAGGTCTCAAATGGCTTCCTCCAATGTCGGGGGAAAGCCCTTTGAGATTCCCGAAGGCGCCCATAGCGGCGGCCGGGGCCCCCCCGGGGGGCGCCCC